AACGTCCCAAAACCACCATATGATTATGAGAGACGCCGTAGTGGAGGGCTCCGGAAATTTCGACTACTTGGTTTTTTTTAACGTGCACCCAAATCTGAGCACCTGGGCCTACAACATTCCCGCCTCCATCGGAAATGCAGCCGCCGCAGCCGCGATTCGATCCCGTGACCTGCAGGTCAGCAGCTGCGCACCTTATCCACTAGACTACCGCGGCGAGGTGCAAAATCGATACCCAAATTTTTGTGCCTGTTCGCTCGAGTCACAATAAAATTCCATAAAAAAGCCTCAGTGGTGAGCTTCGGCCGTGTTTTTGGTCACCTTGTGGTGTGTGCGAGCACACTCTTCATCGAAATTTTACGTATGGTCTACATCTCTTCTGGCACACAAATTTGTATGTTTATACCCTAAATTGCAAACCTCTTTGGTTTTTCAATGATTCTGTAAACCACTTCAGACAGTTTCACCAACGCCAGGTAGCATGGCATGCTACCTGCCGTTGTTGAAACTCAAGAAATATTGCATGCACTCAAGAAATATTGCGCACTCATTTCTGTCATGTCATACGCGGGAAGAAGTATTTTCTGTACCGCGTACATCTAACCCACAGCAATTCAGCATTACGCCAAGCCGTCCAAATGCAGCAACTTACTGCTATTAGACAGCCCAAGGAGTTAATGCCTCCAAAATTTCCTCCCTGGATGCTTTCACCTTTTGAGGTTAAAGCGTGTGTACGAGGCATCAATGAAGTGAACAGACGTATTGCACAGACCGCAACTACTGGTGAAGCTAATACACTTAATCATATGCTTCCCAGCTGGACAAAAGCCTCACTTCCGAAGAAAAGAAGAGGCTTCGGAACCTCAAGACGCATCATTATGCTTTCCTCCACTCTATCGACCCACATCTCCTATCTCCTATCCAGAATCCCTGGAAAGCTGGAAACTCTCTACCATCGTCTCCGGCTGAACAGTGCTTATGTGAACAACTTACGGTACCGCTTCGGTCAAGTAGAAAGTACATACTGCAGTAACTGTGGTTCAATAGAAACTGTAGAACATATCTTGTTTCAGTGCCAAGCGCATCGGATGAGCATGCGCTCTATGAAGACTGCATGCGTCTGTTAACCCAAAGAATTTTATCAGCTAGTTTATTGTGTTTTGGAACCTTTCCCCAGCTTCACGCAACAGAGGCATGCGATGAAAAATTCACTCATGTATTTAGACAATATCGATCAGCTAGACAAGCTGTAGTGGCACCTAGAAAACCCGTCATAAGTCATTCTGTCAGCACACGTTCCCGCCCAAAAGACAAATAAAAATGTCTGTATATTTCCTCTTTTATTCTACTTTTTTTATTATTTCTCTGTCTGTGTGTGTGTGCCTTTAGATCTCCAATCCCCTTCCCCACGCAGAGTAGCAAGTCAGCGATATACACACACTGGCTAATTTATATGCTTTTCAATAAAGAGCTCTCTCTCTCTCTCTCTGTAGTCTATCAAGTAGTCTATACACTAGAAAATAAGTCCAGTACTTCTCCATAATAATATCTCCAAATAAATAAAAGATTTTTTAAGAGCTACAATACGTGTAACATACAGAATGTATGCACAATGTATCTGAAACTATCTCAACCCTTGGCAGATGTGATGTGCACCAGTGTGCTGTGCGCGCTAGAAAACCACACGTTATATCATTTTTTTTGTCCTGTAATGGACGCCATTGTAATGATGTAACGTGTGGGTGTTTACGTAAAGAAGGTTGGGAGCGTCAATGGTCCCAACAAGCGACGAGGCTTCTTGCTGGTTTACGAACAACACTTTATCAAAACATGGATAAACGAACACGCACACGTACAAAACCAACAGAGCGAACCCAGCAAACAGAGAAAGATAACTAGACAAGTTTCTGAGGATCGAATAGTCCTTGCTAAAGTAAATCTCGGCGGATGGATGCTCACCCCTCGGAGAGTGGGACGCACCGGGCGACGCGGGATGGCTTCAAAGAGTTCGGCGACACCTTGTACGAGGTGACGAACAACTTCTCGCCGCAGGGAAGCGTTGGAGGCGGAGTAGGACAGCGGCTACGGGAAGCCCGCAGCTTGAACTCGTGGATGGCGTCCCAGAGCGCCGACATTTGGGCCCGGTCACCCGACTGCATCGAATGCCCAGCTCCGTCTGATCTTCTTTTTTCTCTTGCCCTATACGAAACTCCGAATATCGGCAGGTGCCCACTTATCCGCACGTTCCCCAGCGTATCAGTGATCTAGCGCCCACATCACATCGAGGCAGTATACACCTTTTTCGGGCACACATCACAGAAAAGCCCGATCCCACCACCTCAAACTCTGGTCCGGCCCCAAACCCGAAACTTGAGGCCCGAACCCACCATAAAAAACTACTTTACCCGAGCTGGCCTGGCTCACGGACCGGGCCGGGACGGTTCCGAGCAAGCTCGAGCCCGTGCAGTGCTCTGGCCTCGGGCGTCAGACGACACCGAACCAGAGGACCGGAGTGGACAACCGAACAAGTGAGCTCAGCTCTTCGGTGCCGCTCGGCACGAAAGTGAGTTAACGGCCGCCTCGATCGGGCGCACGCGGCTGATCTATAGGAACGCCGCCACGCGCGCCCGATCCAGGCGTCGTGGTGAGTCGCTTGACCCACCTCCAAATTTTTTTTCTGCATATATATATGGTGTTTATCTTTAACGATTTAGAGTACCACGTACTCTACTATGGGAGGGCTTAAAGCTGTCCCGAAACTCACTCATTGTTTTGAATGCATGCGTTATTTAGAGTGAGAGAACAGCGTCTTCGATCTGTTTAGCTCTCGGCAGCACCTCTAAAAGCCCTATGAAACAATCGGGGTATCACGTTTGTTTGGTTTCAAAATTACGCAAAATTTATTTTTTCCTGATGTGTACACTACCTACACATACTTTTACTACTCCTACTGCACAGGGCTTTTATGTCACTGCTTCAGAAAATTCAACGGTGTCTTTATAGAAAGTGTTTTTTTCTACACGGGTTTCGCATCACGCCTACAACGCATTCGCTTAGACACGCATGTTTGGTGTTGCCGGCGTATTGCCCATGTTAATAGCTTTTGTTTTGTGTTTGAAAGGGATTTGAGATTTGATGAAAAAGGAAAACAAAACGTTTGCACCGAAATGGACAGTTACAACGAATTTCATGATATTCTACCATGAATGAACCATAATGTGTCCTGGCGAGCGAGAACGACAGCAAAAGAAAAAGGCTATAAACTTTTTATAGTGAGACGCGGAAAGATAATTTTGAAAGACGAAAATGCGCCCCTGATCCGAGAGAACAATATAGTTGACGATAATAAAATTTCGTAAACACCATGACAATGGACTTTTGCGCTGTCTGAAATTTCTATGAATATAAAAACATTTTTGGAGTCGACCATGAGTACGAATTAACAGTATTGGCAATGCCCATAGACTGTTGCGCTGTAAAGTGGAACTCAGGAACGCCCTCTGAAGCATGGTCAGAGGGCAGAGGCTCCCTTGTTGGGCTGAGCTAGCCTTAGTCACCTCAGTTTGAACGCGTTAGCATCTTAAGAGACTCCTAAATGAAAAGAAGATAAAAGTGAGTGCCGTAACTGTTTCTCAGGGGGAGGACACCTCAACAGTAGCTCACGAGAGAGGGGAGTAAGGAGGCATTAAAAGGATAGGATTAAAAGATATAGAAATAGAGAGAGGGGAAGGAGAGAGCGTGGCACAGGGACAGCGACATCCAGAAGTAAGGAGAAAATAGAAAAGATGGACACGGTCGCAGAAGTCCGAGGACGGGGCACCACTCAGTGAGAGCTCTTGTCGGCGTCAGGAGCTGGCGTAGGGTGAGCCAGTCGGCCAGAGCTGCGTTGTCGTCAGAGATCGCGGGGGCACAACCAGTCGGCACGAAATCTAGCGAGCGAGTGCGATCTCCGTCGGTATTGGGGAGTACCTATAGGGCTGACCGGTAACGTATCGCGAGGAAGTGAATCTGCGTATGTCATGTGGCTTCATACAAAGTGCCGAGAAATCGCGCAGCGATGCATCTACTCATCCTTTGTGTAGCCACGGCACCGGCCATCGGTCTGGCCAGGGCATCACAAAAAAATAAAATTATAGACAGGATTTCCTGCTCTTCTCAATCGAGAAGAACAGTGCATTCTGTCTCGTGAGGCGGCGTACGAGTGCCCCAGGAACTCTTGGTGTATTTACAGTCTTCCACCACATCGGCTGGACGCGTCTGCTAATCCAGACGCTGTTTATGTTCATGAAAGGGGCGAGAGTTTCACTGGGACTTTTCACAAGATCTGTTTTTCGAGCAGCTGGCATGTAACTTTTTCGTGCACCGAACTATGCTCGGAGGGATTGTCATTGCCACCATGGGCCTGTTCGCTATGGTCGATAACAACTCGTCAGGCTTTCCGAGACGTGAATGTAGAGTTTTGCCCAAGGACAGCTAAATGCAGTGATCATGACCTTCGATTGTTCCCCACCGCTTCCTTCCATCAGTGCCAAAGAGATCGAGAGGGCAGGGGCCGTATAAAAAATCGTTCGCGGAAGTAGAGTGCTCAAGGATTGAAACGCGACTTTAATCATATCAGTATAACGACTGGCATGCGTAGTTGCTTGAGATAATAGCGCCACATCGCTACAAATTTGGCCGCTAAGCGCAATTCCGGCTCTGATAAAAGTGTTCCGAGTCAAAATCATGCCAACTGTGACGCAAACTCAAGACGGTGGAAACGAAAAAAATTGATCTACTGGGCCCTAAGTTGCCGCATTTGAATCCATGAGCACTGCACTTTTCGCCATTGGCTCGTAGCCTTCGCCATGTCCAACTCCAGAATTTCCCGGAATTTTCTGCGAACGCTATTCGTTACTGCAGCAGCTGCACATAGAGAAGCTACTGAAATCTCAAACAACGCGCGGGCTACTCGATCGTGCCCTGAAGTAGGTAGAGTTTGTCAGATATTGAAAGGAACCCACCTTCCTCGATGAGGGCGCGGACCGAGGCCTGTTTTTCGGGCGTCTGCTCTTCCCACCAGCGGGTGAAAAAAGCCATCTCGACGTAGATGAAGCGCCGGTCCGGCTTCGCCTCCAGTTCCGTAACTACTGAGTCCAAGATGGTACGCACGTCTGTCCGGGGCAAAAGAAAAAAGAGGAGATCACATCTTTATGCGCCCGACAAATCAAAGGCCTACGCTTCGTGAACGGACAATTGTAAAAGTTGTTCAACGTAGACAACCGTTCTACCCCAACAAAACGGGCAATTTCTCTAAAATTGGACGACGTTTGAGCTTCACCTTCAACGCTGGATTACAATAGCGTAATCGGGCCCCATGCACCATCGCCTTCTCAACTGCTAACCATGACTTCAGTTGTCGGCGCATGCCTTGTAATGGAACGAACGACTGTGTGCATGACATTGTCCGTTTCAAAATATCATTGAATGCCTATTGCAAACACAGTTGATAAGTTGGTTGATTGGTTGTTCCTCAGAGTCCAGGCGTGGCCACTACGCCATAATTATTCCTTTTTAGAATCAGCGAAGGGCTCACTTTACGTCCGTAGGGCAACGCGCAAAGTTGCGCAGCTGTTTCGTTTGTTGATGGTTCTGCTGCTGCTAATGATAAAATACGCCTGAGCGCTTTTTGTTGCGCACGTCTTTATTACACCAACTCGTTGCGCAATTGACATCTTTCGACGCCTGGCGTGATTCTATATGCTTTTTCCACGCATTATATGACGCGTTAACAAGGCTCCTTCCACTATATGGCATTCATGTAGTGTTTTTTTTTCTTCTAAAGCGGTTTGAGCACGTATTGTGGCTCAAGATAACGGACACTATCTTGAGACACGATATGTGTTAAAACTGTCTTGTACCACCCGAATTCAGTGATATTCCAGCTGACATGCTCTTGATGGGCTGCATAGTTTATCAAAAACTCGCATGTTGAACAGGCATGCGGAACCAATGGTGTCTTCGCAACGCCACTTTGCACGAGTGACTGTGCAACTAAAAGACTTTTATGACCGACATCAGCTTCAGCCGAATGGTATACAAAGTTCATAAAGTGTGTTGCTGAAATACCACTTTATACATTGTGCTCGATGTACTTTATGTGTATTGTCCATTGTACCTTTCTCGAAGCGGCTTTATGTATGTTGTACGCTATGTGTACGTAAACCGCATTCGTATCAAATACCATGTAAGAGAGTAGAAAAAGAAAAGCACATATTGCAGCGTTGAGGTAAAACATCTGCATGTCACGCAAACTGCCTTAATTCGATGCCCACTCAGACATAAAAATTTTTGTTATTTATTTTTACTTGCACATTTCTTCATTTTTCTGTCCATAACAAGATGATGTTCCTTCGCACACAATCGCCAACACCGGAATTTGCGCAAAACGAGCTTTTTTTAACGCTGCAGCATTAATAGTGTCAGAAAAACAAAAAAAAGCAGTAGAGCACTGATGAAAACATAAATAAATAAATAGCAGATATCATTGGACAGAACCTGAATGATGATAATGTGGCATTTTTAAATCTTTCTATATATTGGCTGGTACGTCAAATTTCCAATTTTTGTTTTCGCTGCTTTATTTTGTTTTAAAAATTTCTTATTTTTGTCATTTTGCAACGTTTCATATTTCATTCTTTGTTCAATTAGTTGGCTTGTTTTTGTTTAGTTTGTTTTTCTTTGCGTTTATATTTATCAGAAATCGCGCCCCGTCATACCCTCTTGCGGAATTCGGCTGGAAGCGGCTTGAAAAATAATTGTCATCGATGAATTGCAAACAGTCACACACACGCACACACACACACACGCACACACAAACACACACACACACACACACACACACACAGTAGTTTTACTAAACGTGAAGTATCCGCAAGTCCGAAGACGGGTAGTTTATTTTCTTCTCGCTTTGTCATAGAATTCATTTCTAACGCTCCGAGGTCGAGGAAGGCACTAAAGCGTTACCAGATGGTGGTATACCAGCGCTGCTGCGGTCTCCAATATTCCTGTATTCCAATAAATGTGTATACCGACATGCTAGGAAACTTTATAACCAAATAGACTAACGCAGTGGCCAGTAGTTCTCAAAAAGCACAAGGGGTGCTGAATACGACACAATACAGCCCTATTTTTATTGCTATAGCAAAGATATAAAGACACTCTAGGTTGAATTTTGCCACCAGCGTCGACGTCATTCATCGTATATGTATAAGTATCTATGTATATGAAAATATCAGAAAGAACAATAATTCACAAAAAGTCTCCGAAGCGCGGAATCGAACATCCAACCTCTTACTTGTGAGTGCGAGGCCTTAGCCACTGAGCCACGAAGGAGCAGTTTCTCCAAACGTTGAAACGGCAAGCTATTTATATCTACTTGTTACCACTAGCGGTGGACATCTCGGGGAAGCCATGGCCTCCGAGATGGCGGGTGCGCGGCAGGTTTTTGTCCGTCCGTCTGAATCGCCCGGAGAGAGCGTATTTCCAGAGGCGGGCGTGGTACGCTCTTTTTTCCGCACCGCGGCGCTGCTTCGTGTGGTCGAAAAGCCTGCCGCACTATTGATGAAGCTTGCATGTGGCGAGAAAAAAAAATGGTTTCGCGCGTTTAACTTCGCACTCTTTTAGGAATGTCGGGCCAATTCGTACGAGAGGAAAAGTCATTGCTTGATTGATATGTGGGGTTTAACGTCCCAAAACCACTATATGATTATGAGAGACGCCGTAGTGGAGGGCTCCGGAAATTTAGACCACCTGGGGTTCTTTAACGTGCACCCAAATCTGAGCACACGGGCCTAAAACATTTCCGCCTCCATCGGAAATGCAGCCGCCGCAGCCGGGATTCGAACCCACGCCGTGCGGGTCAGCAGCCGAGTACCTTAGCCACTAGACCACCGCAGCGGGGCGAAAAGTCAATGCTTGGGCGTATATATTCTCAAATGGGATTTTTTTGTTTCGCTGTAGATTTGTGCCACCCAAATTAGAGCACTTATAATTGCGATGCCTCTGCAAGAGATCCGCATGTGCTGAAAACTTACTGTACTTCGAAGTTTGCAGCGTTTATAGTATGGATGGCACTGGCGAGGAAAAAGAATGACAACCCGATCAACAAGCGAAGTCAGAAGAGCGCCGCGTTTTACGCTCACGGGTTACACTCAACTAATGTGTTGTTTTTTGTTTCCCTTCATGGATCTACCTCTGCTTTTCATTTAACGCCTTTTCTAAAATCCTCCTGTAGAACCGCAGAAGCAGGACACAGGGAGGATGGGGCCAGCGGTCGCCATGCGTTTATAGACTATGTCTAGATGCACCGCACTCCCTACTGGGCTGCAGAAATCAGGCGCCTTCTTCTTTATCTAACCACTACAACCACCACTGAACGTAGCTGGTTCTTCGACGACCACGGGCTGGTTACATGCACGTTTTGGCCACTTATTGTCGCCCATACGCACTGTGAATTTTACGGTGTTCAGTGTATACGTTGGGCAATGTAAGAACGAACATAGAAATGTCTTGCTTGTTCGACAAATACACAACACGCGTTCAGAGTTCGATGTAGCTGGTATGAAACACTGCGGTACTACATAGCAGTGACAATTTGCACTTTTCTTTCTTTAGTAGCCTAGCACAGCGAATACTTAGTTTTAATTAAAGAGACACCGTCATGCTACATGTGGGACCCTTTGATATGGATAAAGTCGAGAGTACAGCAAGTGAACACAGCACTTATATTCCCATTGTGCTACCGAAACATACTCAATATTCAGATGACAAAAAAGAGACGATGACAGCTCAGGCACTTTCACTGTGAAAGACGTAGGGAGTGAATGTAGGTCGGTTAATTAAAGCTTTATACAATAGTCCGGCAAAATTACTTCACACGTACCCTATTTCAATGACATGGCCAGGGTACCCAGTTATCTAGAGCGTGGCTGTGCTTCAGTTGACCACCAAAATTATGAGTCAGGATAGGAGAGAGAAATGCGATTAAACGACGATAATTAGTACAGAATTCCCCTTACAAGTTTCCAGAGGAAAGCAGGAATACTAGAATGCCTCAATATTTTTCGAATGAAGGTATTTATCAGCGAGACAAAACGGACCGTAATGAAAAAAAGTAATACTGCCACAGACAAATTGATACCTCCTTAGAATTACCTATGAAGAAAATTCAGCTGTTGCCATGCTTTTCTTCGCGAATTGGACCAAAATAAACGCAGTAAAAGGAAAATAATTTCCTTCAGCTAAGCCACACTCTAAAAGAATATCGAGTAAAAAGGGTGTCTTTGTCCCACAACAAAAATCGTCATCAGGTTTGCGTGCGCTTCCTTTCTTGAAAACTCGGCGCTGGCCACTTTCCTATCGAGAATGCAATGTAACCCTGATAATGGGCATGTCGATCGTGACCGGAATGTACCGGGCGCGGGGCGATAGCGCAAGGATAGAACGCAATATAGATGACAATTATTGTTGTGGGACAAAAAGAAACCCTTTTTACTCGCTCTTTTTTTAGAGTGCAGATCCTGTTATTCTTGCTCGTAAGCGGAAAAAAAGAACATGTGCACGCTGAAATCCCGTGCGCTCTGCTCTAGGCCATGGTCTCAGCCACCGCCGGAGCCCTCAGAGCGCGTGAGGCGATACTCGTTGATTTCGCTGAGGAGCACGTCGATTGAGACGGCCGGAGAGAAACACGCCGTGCATCTGCCATATCGGAGGCCATGGGGGGAACTATCGTGTTTTCAGCATTACCAGTGAGATGGCGCAATGAGCGCGCGTCGTCAGATCGTCACGACGCGGCGGCGCGCGCTCTCATCTCCCACGCGTACTTTGCCCGCGGAGAGGAAGGGGGTGGACGCTCATCCATGCGTGCGCTTATCTCGCAGTGTGGAGAATAGTACGCCTTCGGCTTTCGCCGGTACGATTTTGTTGTAGTTACCGGGCGCACCAAGGTCACAGGAATCGCTGAACAGTCTCCGTTTGCGAAAACGGCGCGCTTTTCAGACACAGCGAAGTAACAAGTGAGACGCTCATTCGCGTTCATCTGTACCTGTGAGGACGTTTCGTGCGTCATTTATACGTGAGAAACGCGAGGCACGTTCCGATCTGCTTGCCATTC